TTCCTTTAAGTGCGACTCGTGTACGAGTCACAAACTCGAGTCCCCACCGCTAAGTTGGCAACACTGCTCTTTGCATGGTTTGTTTTCAAATGGTTTGCTGCTGTCTGTTTGGACCTTTCTGAACATGTGCAGCAAATGGACTGATCCAATATGGTGGACACTGAAGGGGGGGGCTGGGACACACTTAATATTATAGGCATTCTGATGGGTTTTTATCAAAAACATAATTAATGTGCATAAATAAGGAATAGTCGTATTTACCATACATGGAAACAGTTTTTTGGGGCCCCCAGGAACTTGGAGTCCTAGGCAACTGCGGGGTATTGCCTAATGGTAAATCTCTCCCTGACTATGACATGATCTAAGCAATGGTTTCAAAAGATTTATGTTAATATGAATTTAATTGTTTCAACTGTTTGTGATTTTGTTCTAATTTTTAGTCGTTAAACACTTTAGTTTGCACAGAATTTTTGATCCATCTCAAACTCTGTAAAGTAAATCAGATGCTTTAGTAAATTTCTCAGACTTTGCAAATGTAGTCCATCATTACCAAGTTTGGTCTATTTAAAAGTTTTTCTAAGGGAGCAATGATAGCGGTGTGGAGCGTTTAATCTCACACCTGCATCCGCCTCACCTCTAATTCTGCTCCAGCTGGGCGCCGCCTCCATCTTTAAACTCATGGCCTAACTGTATCCAAATTATCCCAAACAGTCAATAAAAGATGGCCGTTGTTCCATCCATTTAAGTACTGCTGCAAATAAAAAACAACCAGACATCTGGCAGAAACACACAGACTGTAATAAAACTGGATTTAACTAATATTTTACTTCACTAAAGCTACTAAATGACCTAAAAATTGTTTTCCCCCCTAATTTTCAGTATTTACTGCCTTGGTTTGAGGTGGAATGAGAGCTGGTGAGTGTGAGAGCGCCATCTACTGAGCAGGAGGAGTTAAAGTCCGGTCAGCAAGGAATAACCAATGGATCACCATTTATACCTAAAACTAATACACTTGCGGTGATTTAATGAATTTAACGTTAATCAGTTAAAAATAAAAA